AAATATAAGCTTGCTTGCTTTATTATGCTTAATACTGATCGAGGTAGCGTGTGCATCAATTCTCCATTGCAACAGAGGAAGAAGACGGTAGGAAACCAGGGCTTTGTGGCTGTGAGAACCAGGAAACCAGGGCTTTGTGGCTGTGAGAACCAGGAAACCAGATGAAAGTTCAAGATCTTTTGTAGCAGGTCCCAAGTCTGACTGTGTGTTAGAATCGGCTGACCCCTCCTTTTTTTTTTCCTGTAGTGATAAAGCCTGGCCCCTCACTACATAAAATAAGGTCAACTCCCCAGCCTGACATGGCATCTGCGGTTTGTCAAACCTCCAGGTGCTTTATGAACAGATCTATTATCTATGTGAGATTGAGCAAATAATTTATTAATGTCATCTTATATAACATTAGTATAGTCAATATTCCATGTCATGGTCCTGTAATTGGAATCTATAGTGTATACAGACACACACACACACCTTTTTTGATTGTGTTAGGCACTTCACTGTCATGATGGATAAACTAATAAATGACTATCAACCTTTTTTTATTTTACTAGTTGATTGGAGCCAGGATTGAAAATAAATCAGACCCAAGTGAAAAAAAGGTACATACATTGCAATTAGTTGTTTTCTTCCTTATGACTCTAAATATATAGTATGTTTTCCTACTGTTTTTTTTTTCTTTGAATTTTTTGGGTGAAGGAATCAGATTATCTGGTTGTTTTCCATGACTTTGAATTTGTTGTTTGTATCTACACAGAATCATTCGATATACCCCCCCCCCCTTTTGTATTATTTCCTGAAAATTTATTAGATCAAAAGGCTGGGTCAACACAACTGGATGATGTGCAGAGACTCTGGAGTGCTTGTTCCCAAACAGGATGTCTTTATCGAGCCCTCTCCTCAAGGTTCAGGGATCTATGCTGAAGAGGAGGAGGAAAGATCAGAAGAGCCGGTCATGGTGCTGACGCCAAGGAAACAGTGTCTTCCAGACACCGCAGGACTGAGGCACAGATGAGCCCACAGAGACTGTGGCAGCAAAGAACATTCAAGCCAGAGGGGGTCCCGGCACTGAGGAGGGACAGTGGACATAGTCTCCCTTACACACACACCCTAAGAAGCCATCTGCAGCTGACACATGCTGGCAAGAGGAAAAATCAGCTTTCTCCAATGGAATGTCACTGGATACATCAATTGCACCCCATGCCCAGGAATAGGTGGCCAACACAAAATAAACTATATGGGTTTCTTTTTGTTGTTGGTTTGTTTTTTGGGAGGTTTAACGGGGGTGGGTTTGGGCTTCTTTTTTCTTTTTTGTCTTACTGATTTTTTTCATTGTTGGTTTTGATTTTTGGGGGGGGGGTGTTATTTTGGTTTTGCTTTAATTTTTTTAAAGAGAAAAAGTACATAAAACTGGGAGGATAGGGAGATGGAAAGAAAATGAGAGGTGTTGGGGGAGGGGAGAAAATGTAATCAAAATATATTGTATGAAAAATTTTTAATTAATTAATTAAGTCCTGGTCAAATTTAGACTCAGTCAGCAAGATTACTACACAGGTACTAAGCAATGCTGAGGTAACTCTCAGGGGCGCATTGTCTTAGTCAGGGCTCTCTGAGGCACACAGCTAGCAGAATGAATACATACTGAACCAGAGAAATGTCTCTGAAGGTAAAGGAGTTCACACCAAGCCTTACACCCTGAGTTCCATTCTCGGGTCCCACATGGTAGAAGGGAAGAACTGGTTCTTGAAAGTTGTTCTCTGGCCTCCACACGTGTACCGTGGCATCCATAATTCTACACACAGACAGACAGACAGATAAATGTAATAAAAAGCATAGCATCAAAAGCATATATATATACTGGGGGTATTTATTAAATTGGCATAAACAATACTGCTATCTGCAAGTCAGAGACATTGAGATCCCAATAGCCGTTTTGTTTAGTACATGTGTCTGGACGCCTCAGCAGTCCCGGTATGGTGCTCGACAGCCTGATGGCTTCCCAGAAAGCCACTGGCTTTCGGTCCACATACGAAAACTGAAGCAAATTGATGTCCAGTGTTAGCAAAGCAAGGCAACAGCAGCAACGGAGATGTGGTCACCAGCGGGGGTTGACATCGAGCAGGGAAAGCAGCCCTCTTTCCTCCCTTAGATCTTCCGTCTAAGATCTAGAGGTGGTGCAACCCATTCTGTGGGAGAGTCTGCCCCCTCAAGCGATGCTTCCATAAAGTCCTTTCACAGACTGTTTAGTTGATAAGTTGATAACCAGAATTAACCATTACACTAATCAGTATTGGGTGGGTACCCATGTATATGCACATAGCGGGTATGCTCATGCCCATAGATGGACATGCAGAGGCCAGAGGGAGAGACCAGGTGTCTTCTCATCTCGTGCATTTTCTGCCAATATCTAGAAATGGCCAGTCTCCAAAGAGCCCCCCATAACTTCTTGTGGGAAATGTCAGTTGAAACCAAAATTTGGTGGGTTGGGAGTATTCTTTGCCACTAAGTTGTGTTTGTTTTGAAACTTTGTTTGTTGTGAATAAACCGAGCAAGCTAAGAAAAACTTCTTATTTTTCTTAAGACAGAAGCATCCAAAGGTCATCTGGATATTTTGATTTAAATTCAGGACAAACGAGTTTGATTTAACCTGACCTATCTGATGCCTGCAATGCCCAAATCCCAACTTCCAATAGTGCTCTATGGCTAGTCCTTTGTTTTATCCCACAGTGTATACATGCAACCCCATCAGAATAATGCCAGCTACTCTAAAACGGCCAAGAAGCTGGAGACACAACATCAGCAACAAAAAGGCAGAAGCGTTTTCCATTGAATGTGTTTGCTTCGAGTATCCACGATTAGAAACTTACTGATAATCCTATATCAAGTCATTAAAAGAACACCACGCTCAGGGATGGAGACGTGGCTCCATGGTTAAGACCCCACATTGCCATTCCAGAGAACCTGAGTTCAATTTCCAGCAACAGTATCAGTGGGCTCAGAAACATCTAGAACTCCCGCTCCAGGAGATCTGACGCCCTCTTTTGACCTTTATGGGCACTGCATTCATGTGCACACAACCACAGACATGTAATTAAAAATAAAATCTTTTTTAGAGAAAGAATTCCACAGCCTGTGGACATCTCATCAGTCTGATGTACCATGTGTCTTGTATTGCTTTTCTGGAGATTTCTTTCTCAGTTTGATAAATTTATAATGACATAAAAATGTACCTTCCACAGACAAATTTTTTAAAAAAGGGTATAGCCACACAACCTAGTCCTAGTTCTTGTCTATACTTTATAAATGTCTGGGTATATAATTTGGTTTTAAAATAAATACAAAAATGTGCTTTCATTTGCTGCACACCAAACTTTATAAGATGGAGAGTACACCATAAATTCTTTCTTGCCTTGCTTTTTCCACTGACATGTCCTGGAAACCATTATTACCACTATACTGGGGCGCTCCTAATTCCTGTTCAGCAGTTCATGCATCCTCAAGGTACCAATGATAAGATGACCTCAGCTAGTCCCTTATTTAGGAATATTTGAGTGTTCACAGGATAGCACTTAATAGTCTCCCACACTCATCCAAAAAAAAAAAAAAAACCACATTGCTAGACAGTTCTAGGCTCAGTTTCCTGACAGGGGCTATATAGTTTTGCTTCCACCTGAAGTCCCTGAGAATAGCTGCATTTTCAGGGCAGCCTACCCTCGCATGCTGGCACCTTTGGATTGCCACCCGTCTGCTAGGTGACAGAGGGATGCTTGTGCTTGTATCTGGTAACTCTAGAATCAGTCGTTTAGCACCTTTTTATAGCTTTAAGTATAAGTTTTGTGAAATTGCTATCCCTATTTCTACTTGTTTTCCACAGATTTGGTCTGATCTTTTTTCGTTTTTAAGCATCCATTCACACATTACAGATTCCAGACTTTTGCCAGGTGGAGGTAGCGCACGTCTTTAATTCTCTATTGTTTGTAATTTTCTTCTTGATTGAGTTTTCAAAATATGAAACTACACAGTCTGTTAATGGGGTCAGTTTGGCTTCTTGCTTCAAAATACAAGCTCCTAGTGATTATCTACTCCAGTGTAACACAGTGTAACTAAGTGGGAAGCTCGGAACTTAACCAAGGATGCTTCAAAATGTTTCCCATTTGTCTTAGTTAAGGTTTCTATTGCTGTGAAGAGACACCATGACCATGGCTACTCTTTTTTTTTAAATATTTATTTATTTATTATGTCTGTGTGTATCTTTGCAGGCCAGAAGAGGGCACCAGACCTCATTACAGATGGTTGTGAGCCACCACGTGGTTGCTGGGAATTGAACTCAGGACCTTTGGAAGGGCAGGCAATGCTCTTAACCACTGAGCCATCTCTCCAGCCCCACCATGGCTAATCTTATAAAGGAAAATATTTAATTAGAGCTGGTTTGCAGTTCAGACATTTAGTCCAATATCGTGGGAGGCATGGAGGCACACAGGCAGACGTGATGCTGCAGAAGGAATCGGAGAATTCTATGCCTGGACTGGCAAGCAGCAGGGACATTGGGCCTGGTTTGAGCTTCTGATACATTTCCTCCAATAATACTACACCTACTCCAACTAGGTCACACCTCCTAATAGTGCCACTCCCTATGAGCCTTTGGGGCCATCTTCATTCAAACCTTGCTTGATCGCTGGCCCTCGTCTATATTTTTAACTGAGATTGGTCTATAGTTTTCTTATTTGGAGAACTCTGTGATGGGCTTGGGAATCGATGTTTTATATTTTTAAAACAAATAGCCTAAAGTTTTCTTCTGTGTTCTACAATAGTATTACAAGCATTGCAATGATTCTGTCAAACTATTTGGACTCCCTGCTTCTCTTGGGAAAGGTTTCCTCCACGCCCTGCAAAGCAATGCACCTGTCTCAGAATGTAGCTGGGGCCCGCCCTTTATTAAGACCCGCCCCTTTGCGCAGGCGCGCTTGCCGTCCAGCCAGCCAATCGTGGGACACGTGTGTGGGGGCCGGACTTCCTGCTCTATCAGTGCCCTAGCAGTTCGGGTTCCGCCCCCGCCAGGAGCTGGGCCGGAAGATGGCGGCGGCAGCGGAGCTGAAGCTGCTGGAGAAGTCTCTGGGACTGAGGCCGGGGAATAAGTACAGCGCTCAGGGCGAGCGACAGGTGAGGTGGGGCACCGGTGGGAGAGTGGCGAGTTGACCCGGCGCCTACCGGGACTCGAGAGTAGAATCGGCCGGGGCTCGAGAGTGGACGCTGCGCCCCACGTGTGTGCTGGACGGGCCGCAGGGCTCGGTCTGGACCTCCAGATCAGTGTCATCATCCCCCGCCCGGGAGCAGAAAGCCGGTTCGGGAGGCGTGGGCAGAGCCGTGGGTTGAGATCACTCCAGGCGGACTGTAGCCGAGAGTGCTCCTTTTATTCAGCGACCACCTTACGATCAGTCACGGGGATGGGGTGGGGAGGCGGCCGGGAGCTAGCCCTGCAGGCGAACAGGACAGAGTGATTCCTGGAAGCCTCTTGGCGGAGAGAACAAGGAAGGGGCCTTGCTCATTCTGGGGACACATTGGCTAAGATATGCAGTGTGCGGAGAACTGAAGTTCCCCGTTGTGGGTCTGTGAGGACCCCCGTTGTGGGTGAGCTCCTGGTGAGATGTAACGATTCCGATTTTTTAGGGTTTTGGAAATGAGTTGTTAATAACATAATATGCCCTGGAAAGACTGTACTAGAGGAAGAATGGTAGTGGGGAACCCAATTTGAATGTGTATTTGGGGGAGTGGTTCCAGATAACTTGTTCTTGTTTGGGCTTTGCAGTAGGTACGGGTTAAATTTTTGTCCAAAACGTAGAAGTATTGTGGGGTTTACACTAACTTAAAGTGCAAAGGCCAGCCTTCCCAGGGGTGAGGAAGTTCTCAGTCTTCACCCGTTTCGTTTGCATCAGCCACTACTCCCACGTTTGACTTGGGAAATTTGCCAAGACATGAATATTGCTTTCGAAGATTACTTAGTATGAGGGACAGTCACCAACAATTAAGAGCCCAACAGAACAAGCATTGAGAAGGAATACAGTGAGGAATGGCCCAGAGGAAGTGGGAGATTGTTTGTTTGTTTGTTTGGGTTTCGAGGCAGGGTTTCTTTTTATTATTATTTTATTATTTTTTTAATTTATTTATTTATTAAAGATTTCTGCCTCCTCCCCGCCACCGCCTCCCATTTCCCTCCCCTGATCAAGTTCCCCTCCCTCCTCAGCCCAAAGAGTAATCAGGGTTCCCTGCCCTGTGGGAAGTCCAAGGACCACCCACCTCCGTCAGGTCTAGTAAGGTGAGCATCCAAACTCCCTAGGCTCCCACAAAGCCAGTACGGGCAGTAGGATCAAAAACCCATTGCGAGGCAGGGTTTCTTTGTGTAACCCTGGCTGCCCTGGAAACCCCCCTCCCCCCCACCTCTGCTGCTGTCAAGGTGTGCACCACCACACCCAGGTACTAGTTAATACTTCCACCAGGCATGGTTTTTAATTTTCCAGATAATCCAAGGTCCTCTTGTCTCCAAGGCACGCTTGTGGTGCACAGACAGATGAGGCAAGCAAAACACCCATATACATAAAATAAAAAATTTAAGCTTAAAAGAAAACCAAGCAAACAAGCAGTCCTCATTCTTGGGGATTTTATAGCCTCTAAAGGGGGAAAGAAACCTGTTTCCTTTGTCTTGTAAGGGTTTCAAAGTTGGTTTTAGGTGAAGTCTCTGAGAGTTCTCAGAGCACGGCTGTTGGGTCATGGGAAGGTTACGTTTCCTACAGTCTTCCCCCGAGTAAGTGGTTCTATGAAGAGGTGATGAGCATCACTCCCCAGAAGGAAACATCTGATTGCTGGCACAAGTAGCTCATGCTGGCTACTCGCTTTTTTGGTTTTAGAACTGCTACAAGGTACAAGCCAGGGTTGCTGAGGCCCTGGTACAGAGAGTCTCCTCAAACTTCTATAGGCTTTGCTTAAGTAAGAAACATTTATGGGGCGGGGGCTGTGGCTCAGAACAGGGAGGGCCCTGGGTTCTATCCCCAACAGCACAAAAATAAATATGTAGATTTATTTTACTAAACCAATAAGGTTCTAAATTTCAAGAAGCTGTATAATCTAATTGCCTAAACAGGTATTATTTGGTTTATGGGTAAGGGCAATCTCTTTTCTTGTTTTTTCGTTTTGGGGGCAGGGTCTTCCTATGTAGCCCAGGCTGGCCTGAAACTTGTAATCCTCTTGCCTCAGCCACCCGGGTTGCTGGGATTACAGGCATGGCCCACTGCCTATAATCAAGGGTGGGGAATTGTGAGTGAAATTAATAAAGTATTGTGGTTTCTGTTGTTTTCTCATCTTGTATGCTCCTAATTCTGAATTTTGATAACATTTAGCCAGTATTACTACCAGTTACATCATCCAGCATGCCATTAAATTATAAACCCTATGACTGCTGGTGTCCTAACTTTCAGTTATACCTAATTTAGTATTCTAGAGCATTTCCAAAAATTGGGGATTTTAGTGCTTACCTCCAGTTTTCAGTCATGATAGTCTTTGTTTTTAATTTTTTTTTTTAAGGTTCCAGTTCTGCAAACAAACAGTGGTCCCAGTCTAATGGGATTGGCTACCATCGCGACCCATCTAGTCAAGCTAGCCAATAAAGAACACTTGCTGGGGAGCACCCCAGAAGAGAAGGCAATCGTTCAGCAGTGGTTAGAGTACAGGGTCACCCGAGTGGATGGACACTCCAGCAAAGAAGACACCCACACTCTGCTGAAGGTATCTTAACTGTGTCTGTAGGCCGGCCGTACTGCAAGAGCCTCGAAGCGGGAGACCTTCCCCTCAGGGTCGTTACTTGGTGGCCTTCTGTCCCATTCCCCTTTACACTGAATGAAATAACTGAGTCCTGTCAGGCATCTCCACAGAGACCTAGCCGAACAGTGGTTACCAGTGCCTAGAGGAAAGGGAGAAGGGGAGTCATTTAATGGCAGTGCTTTAGTTTTGCATGATAGAAAAGCTCTGGAGATTGGTTGAGATTAGTTTGAAACTAAACATGCTTATCTATACAGGCTCAGCCTTCCAGCTGCATTCTTAACCATTCTTGAAATGGTTAGGTGGTACACTTTATGTTATGAATATAATCCTAATTAAAGTATTAATATATAACAAAGTTTTTGAAATATATACTATTTATATGTATGTATAGGTATGTATATATGTGCATATCAAAAACCAATAACATTTTCCTAGAGATAATCATCTGAGAAATTTTTTATGTTAGGAAAAATTTAACAATAGCATGATTTTTAAATTTTATGTCTATAGTTTGTGGGCACGTGCAGGCGGAGGTCAGGGCTAACCTCAGGTATCTCCTATTTTCTCCACCTTGTTTGGTTGAGACAGGTTCTCTCACTAAACCCAGAGCTCACAGGTGGCTAGAGAAAGTTGGCCAGCAAGCTCTGGGGATCCCGCTGTCTCTGCATCGTCAGCACCAGGGTTACAGGCAGGTACTCACCTCCTACTGAGGCACCTCCCTAGCCAGAGTGAGCATGGTTTAGACATGATAAGAACAAAACACTACACTCTGACGTGCTCATAGGTGGCATTTAGAATGTTGCTTCTGTTTTTTTTTTTCTTTTAGATGATTGGCATCTAATTTGTGATTTCTGTTGTCAATATTTGTCTGTTTCAAAAGCGTCTCCTCACACTGCTCTTTCCCCAGTCAGCCTGCCCCATTCTCCCAAGAGCTGACGTGTGCCACCACAGCCAACTTAAAGATTACATCCATGAAATTAAGTCCAGCCCGGCAGCAGTGGTACACGCCTTTAATCCCAGCACTCAGGAGGCAGAGGCAGGCGGATCTCTGTGAGTTTGAGACCAGCCTGGTCTACAAGAGCTAGTTCCAGGACAGGCTCCGAAGCTACAGAGAAATCCTGTCTCAAAACCAAAAAGAAAAATGAAATTAAGTCTGAGTCCTTTTCTTTGGTTAGCCTTCCAAATGTTTAAATCATATGTCGCAACAGCTCATTATTACTCTTTTTAAATTATTGTTATTCTTTTTTTAGGATCTTAATTCCTACCTTGAAGACAAAGTCTACCTTGCAGGATTTAACTTTACCTTGGCAGATATCCTTCTGTACTACGGGCTCCATCGCTTTATAGTGAGTATTTAAGGGGTGGTTAGCTTTTATCTGTAATATTCAGAATCACTTTTTTTAAATGTTGTGAATTTTAGTCAGATTTACATTTCAACTTATCAAAACAAGGGTTATTTTTAAATAAGGCACTGTGGGCAAAACTCGCCACATAGCCCATTTGTGGAGCTGTGTTCTCTCTTCTACACTTGACTCCTGTGTTTTCAGCTTCTGCTCCTGTCCTTCCGTGGCTATGCCTCTGGCTCTGTCATCATCATGCCCCGCCGCCACCCCCATGCCCTGTCTTCTGTGCACCTTCCTACCAAAGCTCGTGAATCAAGTATCTTGGTTGCCAATCTTAAGTTGATGACTCTTGTTTACTTATTGCCATCAACTGTCACCCCCTTCTGCTTGACTTCAGCCGCATCTTCTTGGCACCTTCAGCTTCTTTGCTGTGCTGTCTAGTTACCGCCATGTTAAATGTCTTCATTTTTTTGTGCACAGAGCACTCTGTTTTAGAAATTACGTAAGTATAGGTTGCTAACTCTGATGGCGGCTAGGCTTGTGTCATGATCAGCTCTCCTTCCTTCCAAGTGTCTGTAGGTGTTTCACCTTCTGACTTCCTTGCCGTAGAGCCTTTCTTTCTTCACAGGCTTTCTCCTTGTTCGTTTAATTCTTTCATCTTTAGCCTCCCTGCTTAAAACACCCCAAGCACCTTTCTCCCATTCCTGGCCTCAGAAAGGCATTCCCCAGCCTCACACCTTAGCTCCTCTACCTTGCCAGCCCTTTCTGGGTCAGCTCCCAAACTCTGTTTTCTTTTTTCTATCATTCTTTCACATTTACCCTCTAAGTACTTGGTTACGCTCTACATTTGAAATCATGTGTCGTCATTCAAACTTACAACTACAGACACCCCGTTTTCTTTCACTGTTCTTTACTCTGTTTAAGCGTCAGCTCACTACTACTTGCAATGTTCCAGTGGACACTATTAACTGAGACATGGCGAGGTCCGTCAGAAATCAAGTAATTGACAGACCAAGTCCCAACCCAGGCACTTTGTCTCGAGTTCATGCCTTCTTAGATCTTTTTCTCTGCCTTAAAAACAAACAAACAAACTCTCAGCTCCCCAACACCCTTCTTCCATTGTGAGGGGAAAAACTTCAAAACATTTTCTATGTTCTCCACTTTGTGGATCTAGTCAGGGCCTGGTGTTTCCACTTGCTGGGTCCTCTCACCCCATCTCTTCTTTCCTGGGATCTGGAGTGACTTTTGCCTGTGTATCGCTCAGTTTTATTATCTCTAGTCCATATAAAGAAGATGCGAATAAGGTGGGCGCTATGGGATGAACCTGGTGACCACTAGGCTAGTCTTTCCTAAGACCAGGCTTTTTCCTCCTCAGTAGTTCAGTAAATCCCAGCAAGTACAGTTTTTCAGCATGGAAAGGTTTTCTTTTGGCTCCTGCCACTCTTCTGGCTTTGGCCCTGTCTCTCTGCCTAAGCTGTAACCTGAGTCTGCTGGCTACTGGGTCTTTCCTGCACATATTTTTGCATTGCCCTCTCATTTTCATCCTGGTCTTTGGTACCTTCCTCTCCAGTTATTTCTATTTCCTCAGACATCTGTCTCCTCCAACATTGCCTCCTTGTTTAGGCTGTCTCAGGCTCCTGAAACATACTGAAGTGCTCCTCTCTGTTTCTGTTTGACCCTCGTGGGGGACTTCCTAAAGCTTGACTTTGTTTTGCTTGTACTATAATTGCTATTTGGTAATTTTTGTCACAAACTGCTTACATCATAAATGTAGAGATTTGTCTCACATCATTCCTGGCACATATAGTCAGGCTTCCATAATACCCAGTAAACATGAACAATGTATGCTGTCCAAGGAAAAGGATGCTTATATACTTGTGTGCATATATTTGCAAGGACCAAGGCGGATCTTTCTAAGGGTCTTACTGTATAGAGAACCCCTTTGTAAACCCTAAACCACCGCAGTAAGAAGTGATACAGTTAGATTCTGTCCTCTGCAATAGCAGGATCCACAACCAGACTGAGCCAACCACAGAGCAGAAATACAGAAAAAAATGAAGTCCGCACTGAACAAGCACAGACTCCCTTGTCTTTACCTCACCACTACATTGTAACATCTGCTTATCCCAGCACTTACTGTTGTATCTTTAGCACCAGCTCCTATAGAAACTAATGAATTGTTTATTGTTAGTTCACCACTTAAGCCATACTTCTCAATTTGGATTTGCTTAACTTTATTAACAGTTATTCCCCAACTTGGGAATGGTGACACACACCTATAATCCTAGCACTTGGAAGACTGAGGCAGGAGGGTTGCCCCAAGTTCAAGGCTAACCAGAAGTACATAGTGAGATACAGGACAAAGGAGGCTTTCTCAAGTGGGTGCATTGTGTTCTGTAGCACCATAATGGCCTAGTTGATTAGCTTAGCGCTCCCTGCTATCCACTTAAAATTATCAGGAGCCTCCTGTGTTGCCCACTACGCTGTTTTTCAGAGGGACATAAAAAGAACATAAGCCGTTCTCTCTTTTTTTTTTTTGCTTGTTTGTTTTTGTTTTTTAAGACAGGGTTTCTCTGTAGTTTTAGGGCCTGTCCTGGCTCTTTTAATCCCAGCATTTGGGAGGCAGAGGCGGGTGAATCCCTGTGAGTTTGAGACCAGTCTGGTCTACAAGAGTTAGTTCTAGTACAGACACCAAAGCTGCATAGAGAACCCTGTCTTGAAAAAAAAAAAACAAAAAAAAAAGAGGTAACACAGGGAAAAGACATATGACAGATTTGACAGAATATGATTGTCCTTGGGTAGCCAAAGAAATTGATGTTGTTATGTAGTTTCTAACGGTAGAATGGCCATATAATTTCTTATCAAAAAGGAGAGTGGCAGCTGTGACAGGATGCTTTTCTCTACTCTACTGGTGCAGGGAAATAGAGTAGTAGGTGAATAGTCCTGGAAATTAGATAGAATGGGACTCTTTTACACAAAGCCAGGAATGCTTACATCGGTGTCTTATTTCTTTTCCCCTCCTCACTCTCAGCACAGTGGCTTTTACAGATGCAAGCTTATGAGATTAGCAGTATTAGGTACTATGTACCGTATGCTTTCCTGTTTTACATCATTCATCTCCAGTGAAATGTAGAGTTTAGTTATGTCCTTCAGTGCATTTAGAGTGATTTATTTACATGTGAAGAAAGCATCACTGGAGCTGAAACATCAGTCACTGCACCTCTTTTTATTCCACTCTGGCTTCAATGCATCTTAGTAGCGTCTTGAACTTAGAATGATGATGTGGCACAACTTACCTCATTTCAAAAAAAAAAGCCTCCAAGGTAAAAAGGATTTGCTGCCAAGGTATCTAAGCATTTCTCCTGGTGGCAGACACAGTCTTTCAGCTTGGGGTCCCCTGACTTGACATGAGCAAAACCGTAACTGCCTTACTTACCGGGTGTCAGGACAATTATACTTCAGCGGAGTTGTCCGCTTTACACACTTAGCACATATTTTGTGTTATTTGATATTTAATACTGGAAGATATGTGTAGTGACTATCAGCAAGCTGGTGATTGTCTGCAGAGCTCTAAGGTCTGGTCCTTTAGCGTGGAGCTGTCATGAAGAAGGAAGATTCCTCCTATCTAATCCACACAAATAGTAAAGTGTGTGAAACTCATGCAGACTAAGTGCGGGTTTGCATTCTCCTCTGCTGGGCTCATGTAGATCATGGGAGAAACCTGTGCAACATTACTCTGCTATCGCAGTGAACAAAATCATAATTTTATACTGCAAAATACTGCAGTTATTTAACTGTGAGTCACGCCTTTGGTTTTCAGGAGACTTTCAACTGTTTCCCTCAGTTCTGAATATTAAAATCAGAGTAATCCTAATCTTAGCCATTTAAACCAACTGACATTTCCTGTTCTGGAATATGTATCTTCTCTCCCTGTAGTGACTGTTGAGATTAGAGGTATTGTAGTTATCATTCTCAAAGCAACATTGAATAGGATAATTCCTAAATCTCTTTGTTGACCATTGTTTTGGGCTTGTACAAGTCAAAGTGTGTGCCCTTTCCCAGTGCAAGAGCAGGCAAGGTATTCGCAGGAAGAAGGACCTTCTTAAGAATAGGCCTCATAAGCTAGAACTCTGGTGATAGGGTGACACCATGGTGTTAAGTGGCATTTGTTAGTTGGATCTGAGTATACACAGGTGTGAGAAAAGTGACTGCTAGGTATTATGTTTGGCTTGGCCACCTGCTTTTCAGCTTTGCTGGGTTAACAGTACACTGATACCTGCCCAATCCTGCATTCCTTCACTTAGTGTTTTATGTTGTTGAATTCTTACTCTGTAATCAGCACAGTCCATGAAACAAAACCTTTAACAGTCAAGGAACCTCTGGGTCATCAAATCATACACACACACACACATACACACACCCGATTGTTTCTGTTGGCTGAGTTTTCTGAGACCAGGTTTAACTTAACACATCTTGGCATATTATATTATGCTTTGTCAACAGTGCCCTAGTTGTGACTGTTGATTCCAGCTCTAGTACCAACTGCTTTCTTCCGTGATTCCACTAAGTGACAGTCCCTTATAATCAGACTGTGCCTCAAGATTGTTAGAACCCTTTGTGACGCCGTGGCTGGCCCATAAGACTGTTCTGAGCAGAGATGCATTTCTTCTGAGCACCAGTGGGATATGGGTTCTTGGAGAAAGAAAGGAGAAGGGCAAGAAGTCAGTCTGAAGCAGTTCTGAGAACATAGACTATCGGAGACAGCCTGGTGGAGACAGCCTGGTGCCGGTGGAAGGATAAAGCCTGCTCTAAGGCCAGGCTGCAAAGAGTTAGTTTGAATGTTTCCCACATTTCTTAGTGGAAAATAAGTAAACCAGAATGTTATCTGTTTGGCTTTAAGGTTCAAAGTAATTACTAAGTTCCAATATAAACAAAAATGAGTGCGTAGGAGAGGGAGCCGCCGGCACCACCAGAGACTCACTGTTGTCTAGACCAGTGAGAAGCAGGAAGCAGCTTTTGCATTGTGTTCCCCATGTTAAAAAAAAAAAAAAAGGAAAGTAACTAGGTGGTAGTGATAGAAAGCTGTGCTGTAAGTGAAATAGCCCAGGGATGGCATCAGAACCGTTTTGTAAACCTGCTTAGTTTGTTGACAGTAAGTTTATGTGAAAGATGTTTTTTAAAAAGTAGCAGAGGTAACATGCCAAGTTTAGTCGTCATTTTCTCAGACTCAAACAGAAGGACATTAACTGTGTTCTCTGATCCATTCAGGAAGCCTGTGTATTGCTAGTAAAAGAGTAAGTTAGCCCAAATCAACCAAGACTACTATGCAATAAATATCTTCCAAAAATTGTCAAATTAAATTCGAAAATATTAGACTTAGAAGCTATTAGAAGCCGGGCAGTAGTGGTACATGCCCTTTAACCGGGGAGGCAGAAACAGGTAGATTTCTGTGAGTTCAAGGCCAGCCTTGTCTACAGAATGAGTTCCAGGATAGCCAGAGAAACCCTGTCTCGAAAAACCAAAAAGAAGGAGGAGGAGAAGCTATTAGAATAAAATGGTTTTATCCTTAGGTTAGATTATAGTCCTTATTAGAGTGTGGAGTTAGTAAGGGGGTGCTTATTTATTTTGATTTATGTCATCAATTGGTATTGTTTTAAATAATGGGCCTAGTAGCAACAAATACTAGTTCTGTATGTTAGCAAATGTTTCACAGTATAGAATATGAAATATGCATATTCCTTTTCACCTGGTTCATAATCTCAGTGCACAAGCTAAAGAGAAATCAGATAATTGTTACTACCTTCATGTTTGGAAATGTATTATTCTGTATTTTATTGCATCTTGAAAAATAACATGCCATGAGATGGTTAAGTGCAGTTTTGGTTTAATGAAATAGAAGAAAATTCTAAGAAGTTTGTCGTTTATTCTTTCATTTTGCAATCAGACTGGGAATGAAGCCTAGGACTGCTAGACAGGCGTGCATTCTGCCACTGAGCTACACCCCTGTCCCTAAACTATTTTAAAACCTTGCTTTTGAGGACTTAGGCAACTCAGTGGTAAAAGACTTACCTGACATGGCAAGGCCCCATATTCATCCCTTAGCACCAACCAAACAACACAAAAAGAGCAAACAAAACCCAGTTTTCTCTTGAAAATTTATAATATATTGGTAGAATTTTTAAAAAGTTAATTCATTTACAAAGTGTTTTGAGTACAAACTAAGGCCCACAAGTGTACCTGCTATTTCTATGTTGATGAGCACATGCTTCTGTTATTTCTGATGTAAAAATCAGGAACATGTGGAACCATAAATTCTCTTGTAATAAAATTAGCCTTTACAGTAAGGTTGTTTGGTACTAGTTACCGCACACTAGTGTGTCCTCCATATCCTAGGTCCTATGACTTGACAGGTATTTGTCTCTTAGGCACACCTACGTACAGCCTTGGGACATCATCTCACTAAAAGTGCCTCCAGACATACAGACCTCTGCCGGGTGTGGGCCTGTGGTGCCAAATTGTTTCTGTGTTTATTTTCTTTGTGTTATAGAGACTTACAAGTTCTTTATAAATGTAGAATTAACCACAGGAGAAGGGGCTTATACCACCCACACATGGGATCATGGCTGCCAGTTATCGTCCTATTTGTCTTCCTCTTACTGAACAACTTAATTCCAAAATTTGTCTTAGAGAAAAATCTTGAGTTCCCATCTACTTTGGAATTTGATCCCAAGGGAATGATCAGCACCTCTGTCTTTGCATCCAAGATAGTTAAGTGCCTTGAATCCCTGCTGCGTCTAGTAGAGCGTAGGTCTTTACTGCCCACAGGTTGGGGTGTGTTCAATTAGCTCCTTTCTAAGTCGTGAGCCACTAGATAGCCTTTTCTTGTATTAAACTCTGTAAGCACTTAAAGTTAAAGCACTTAAGCAGGTCACTGTCTTCAAGTGGGGTTTTCCCTCTGAAGTTGAAAAGGAAGATAGCAATAGTCTCTGTGTGTATATGCATGTCTCTGTGTAAAATATGTATATGTATAGGTATATGTATAGGTATATTATTTATGTATATGTATACATAAATAATGTGTGTATCCATACTCTTTTCTTTTTATTAAATGATGTTCTCTTGTTAAGTATGTTAGACATCAAAAACTCATTGTTTTTAAGGCTTGCTTAGAAATCAGGTAAAGAAAGAACCTTAGCTTTTTGAAAGCTCATAGATAGATAGATAGATAGATAGATAGATAGATAGATTGATTGATTTAGATAGATATATTGGCTTTTTGAGACAGGGTTCTTTGTGTAACTGCCCTAGCTGTCCCGGAACTAGCTCTGTATCTGCCTCTGCCTCCCCAATGCTAGCATTAAAGACGTGTACCACTACCACCACCTGACTTATTTTCTTTTTTCTAATAAAGTGATGAAAAATCCTTTGGGCCTCTAAATTCTATATTAATGTCAAGTTTTGTATTTATGGAAAGCTTGATGTTTTCCTAGAAAGCACAACTGGTTTTGAACTGAGCATTAAAATATTAAATGTATTGACTATCAAAATTGCCTGCAGCTTTCACTTCTGTGTAAACATGTTGGCTTTGAAAACGGGGGGATTGGGTGTCAGTCACCTCCCAGTGTTGACAGCTCTGCTTGTGTACAGTGAATATTATCTGTTGTTTTCAATCTCCACTTAGGTTGACCTGACGGTTCAGGAAAAGGAGAGCTATCTGAATGTGTCCCGCTGGTTCTGTCACATTCAGCACTACCCCGACATCAGGCAACATCTGTCCAGTGTTGTCTTCATCAAGAACAGACTGTATGCTAACTCCCACTAGGAGCCCCTGCTGTGCAGCAGCAAGATTGGACATGTAATGGAAAATGTATTTTGGACCATGGTACTAACGTAAATTAACATGACGTCGTTTCTTTGTTAATGTTGGTAGAAGTTTTAAAGTGTAATTTTGTCTGAATGTTTTATTTGTCCCTTAGTTGAAGCTTTGCAATTTTTTAATGTAAAAATTCAACTCTTATTCAAACAAATCACGATTGGATTACAAATTATCTTGTATTTATAGGTTAAATTTATTAATAAAATTTGGAGATCAGTGGCTCAATCTTAAAAAAAAAAAGTTACCCTGTCAGTGTTTCACATCTGGCTTTTTCATGTTTTTAAAATTCATTTTCTTCTTAGATATTTATAGTAGTTTATTAAAACTTATGATAAATTATGCTAAAGATTCAGAAAGGGAAGAGGGATATTTGTTCTCAAAATATTTATGTGAGCTAGTAAATGTGAATTTAAAAATCAGCTGTGCTTGTTTCTTTCTTTCCTGTAATCAGCATTTACTGAGGTGACACTAACTTCTGAGCCCCCACCAAGAGGTTAGTTAAAGGCATTCCTTTAAGCTAATGACTTCCTCTTGTCGGGCATCTTGAAGGACAATGTGACTTAAGAAACTGGGCCTCAGCCGGGCCGTGGTGGCGCACGCCTTTAATCCCAGCACTCGGGAGGCAGAGGCAGGCGGATCTCTGTGAGTTCGAGGCCAGCCTGGTCTACAAGAGCTAGTTCCAGGACAGGCTCCAAAACCACAGAGAGACCCTGTCTCGAAAAACCAAAAAAAAAAAAAAAAAAAAAAAAGAAAAAAGAAAAAAAAGAAAAAGAAACTGGGCCTCACCCATCTCATCAGTGACAGAAAGCCAGCCAGCACTCTCAGAGTCTGCCACTGCAACATTGAAGAGCAGGGACCCTTGGACACTGTTAATCACGGCATCTCTTGATGCTGTAACTCTCACTAGTGTGGTAGTTGTGGGTTATTGAGAGTTAAAGAGCCTGTCTGTCCAAATAAGAGAAAACAGAGTTGGGCATTTCATGACCTTGTATGTTCATAACCCAGCCGTGGTCATTAAGGATCACGAATTCAAGGGCGGCCTAGACTACACAGGGAAACGTTGACTTAAAGAAAACGATGAAGAGCTAGGGTGTAACTTAGTGGTGAGTGCTTGCGGAGCACCCCTCGTCCTGTGTTCAGTCCCCAGAGACAGGAGGGAGGGAGAACCTAGGTAGTACTATCCAAAGTTCTAGGGAAAGAGTAAGAAATTTGAAAATATTTAGCACCAGTTGAATCTTACTGTTACTGCTAAGCATGAGATTCTAAGCAAAGCAAAAGCCCTGCTTCTAAACATTACTACAGTGGAAATCACAATCTTTCAACACTTGTGCTTTTGGGGACATCTTAGCTCCAAAACATGAGTGTTCAGTAAAATAAACGTACTTACAATGTCAAAGAGCAAATGAAATGGTTGCACACTGTAGCAATTGTGTTACAAGGATGTAGCTCAGTAGAGAAGTGGCATCAGTCCGAATTAGACCACTCTCGCCCTGTAGCAGTGATGAGACACTGGTTAAATCCATGCAGCTGATGAAATTCCTGGAGTAGAGGTGGGAGTCACTGATCTTGTCTCACTTCGATGGTAATCATAAAAACTGGAAGTCAGTCTCTTCCCACTCCATCCCTGAGATGCCAGCCTGCTCAGCATGTGACTGCATCTGAGATAGGACAGAAGGTGGCAGTGCTTCATCTAATTGTGGAAAAAATAGTCACGTTACCGCCTGTAAAAGCCAGTCTTTGTAAAATGTTCCTTATTTGTTCTTATGCTTCTGAGGTGTCCATGAGATACACCTGAAATGTGACCACTCCAGTGGGTGCTGCTCCTTCTGGAAAGTGCGTGTCTCTTTTCCACCAGTTTTGTCTGTAATGCCCAAAGACCTGCTGCGCTGACCATTCAGTGATTGCCCTAGTGTGTTTTTTACTTGGGGGTAACATACAACACATTCTTGCTCTTAGAGAATCTACACCCCGACAGCCTGTGAACAGGCTCCTGAGGGAGGGCACACAAAGATTCTTTTGGGAGCTGCCTGACCCCACCATTGTCTGGAAGTAAATACTAAGTATCGAATATAACTGTCTACTGTGTTCTGGGCCCTGCACTGGAAACTTAATGTTAACTCATGCTGACTTACAAAGCAAAGAGGACAGACTCTGCCTCATGAGAAGCAACACTTCAGACCATAGTGGAATAAATGAGAATTATATTACCTTTCAGGATTGGTGACAGCCTGTCCATATTGTTCAATGATGCTCCCATGCTGATGGGTCTGTATTTTGCATACATGTCTATATTCTACATACAAATTTCAGAAACAGATAAAGAATTCCAAGTAGGAAAGCATTGCTTTTCAGTCAAGAGTTCTTGGGTTAATTCACTAACTAGGATAAATACTAGTTTAAGATAAGAAAGTAATATCAAAAAAGGTCATTTGTTCATAGACAAAGTTACATAAAATTCATGTATTTTAAGCGAACTTCCCAGCTGAACACTCCTCCAGTTAATGGATTATTTCAGCAAAGTTTTTACAGACATAGTTGTTCCCACCATCTATCTGCAGACAGAAGTATGGTATAAGGAACCCCAGCTGATAACTGGAGCTATAGATAGTACCAAATTCTACATATACTTTGCTTTTTCCTATATATGCATGTGTTTGATGAAAATTATAAATTAGGTACTGTAAGAGACAAATGATAGAGTAACTTTGGACAGTTAGGACAATACATTTCTGCCACAACGGTTAGTCTGACAGCCAGGATAGTTACTAAGCTACTAATGGGTGGGTAGGATATACAACGTGGATACATTGGACAAAGGTAATTGGCATTAGGGCAGAATTTCATAAAGCTCCAAAATCATCACAATGTAACATGGATTGTCTGTTTCTTGGAATTTCCACTTTAATATTTTTGGTCTACACCTGATAGTGGGTAACTAAAACCAGCGTGAAATCTTTCATGGGATGGAACTGCTGTACATGGGAATTTTCCTGTTAGACACTGGTGTCACCTCTTTCTAGCTATAATTGGGGGACAGAAACAGACATGGAAGGTTTCCTACAAGGACAAGGCAAGGTGACAGCAGTAGAAAGGATGGCCCACTGCTAGCACATCATGTCACCACCCCTTAGAAGCGTATCTGATTTAGGAAATCCTTGCTGGAAGTCTGTCCAGAATTGCCTCAAGATATGATGATAAAAATTTAAACAAACGTACAATTAGGAGAGTATAGAACTGCCCTGTAGTCAGCTACACATACATCACTCCAACAGATAAAATACACAAGAGCTGACAAGTAGTCAGATTAGAATCACTATGAACTGTTGCCTTTTCAGGTATATTTTTTTCTTAATATTTGACTTCATTCCTTTAATGATAAAAAAAGACAAATGTTACATGAACTTTAATATTAATCTAGCTTTGGCAGAGATGTGGTGATTTAATGGATTAGTGCATTTAGCTTTTTTACCCCAGCGAGCAATATTTCTTCTTTCTCTCCATAATTAGATAATCTGCTGCTACCCATTACCAAGGGCACTAAATTTCAAATTCTCTGTACACCTCAACAGGCTGCTACATATCTGGCCATCTTAATTTTAGTCTTGATTTATGGAAGCTGAATTACATTCCCAACCCTTCCTGGAGCTCTGGGTGAATTTCATTGCGAAAACGGTGGAGAGAAAAGTTAGCATCATATATCTCTCTTGCCGGGCAGACTTTTCGACACACAAGGGGCTCCACATCCCGCTGTTCCACGTCTTGTATGGTGGATTTATAACACTGTGAAGCTCAGCTCTAGGGTTACACACAAGCATATCACAGATGAGGTGGGGAATTTGATTTTACAATAATGATTACTAGTTACAGAGCCCGGATTCCTGTAGGCTCTGCCTCTATTCCCCAAACTGCCTGTGAATGAAACTAATTCCTGCTGCTTCCCAACCGAATCAGACTCATCTCTCACAGAGCAGAGGGAGGCCGGAAGAATGCAGGTGGAAAGTCAGGAGAATCCAAGACCTGGCCCTCTTTTCTGTTATGTCTCAAGTGTCTCAACTTCCATGATTATTTTGATTTTTAAGATTATTGCTTCCTTGTGAGGCAACAGAAGCCCTGAACCTTTTCCAGCTCGGTGAGTTAATTTGATAGTTCCTTCATGCTGTCGCTTCCATTTCCACAAGGCCAGGTCCCTAGGGCTTGCCGGTTGGATTATAGATCCTGCAGATTTGGCCTGCCGTGCCTGCTGAGTGTCATCTGTCCCTGCAATCTTGCCATGAATAAAATTTATTCTCCCTCACATCATCTGCTTGAGAAATCTGTGCCTGGCAGGCCTGTCTGCCCATGTTAAGTTTGAACTACAGTAGCCATACAACTAATTTGACAAGGCATGACTTTAAATAAGAAGGCCCCAGGCTTGTTTTGACCAAGATGAGAAACTTCCAACCCCCAGATTACCAATTCCAAAGTGCAGTCTCGGAACTGGACCGTTCCTGTGGTATAAGCTATCAATCTGCACAGCCCATGTTTCCTGCTCTTCTGTGGCACTTACCTTGCATGTCATAAAGGTCCTTAGAGACTTTAACTTGCCGCCTGGCCTCTCCTGTCCTGTTTTCTGCATATGAGCCCTATCTGTTGAATTTAAAGAACTCAGTATAGCAGAGTCCCTTATGCATAGAGGATAAACTCTTACCATAGAGGAGACATTCTGATTCCTCAAGTTGATGCCTGGAACCCTAAGTAGTACATATGTTAGCTTTCCATTCCAGATAGCAAAATCCCTAGGATCATGAGCTCAGAAGATAGATGTACTGTGCTTGATGGTTCTGGGAATTCCAGTCCATGGTCTGCTGGGCGCTTTTCCCCTGTTGCTTTAGCACCTGAGGTGAGGCAGCATATCAAGGCCTGGAGCATGTGAGTTAAGTGCTCACCTCATGGCCTGAGTGGTGGGGGGGAGAGTGAGAGGGGGAGGAGAACTTGCTTCAAGGATATGCCACCAATGACCTAATGATCCTCCCTAAGGCCCCATCTTTCAAAGGTTTCACCACTTCCCAGTAGCACCGAGCTGAGTTCTAAGCCCTTGTTGACACACAAGCATTTGAAGAACATTTCAAAACCCAAACAATAGCAGTATTGTATAAAGTAGGAATATATATATATGTATGTATATATATATATGACATATATATATATCCCTTTATTAAAATCCAAATTATAAATTAGACCCATTAGTTAATTTTCTGTTGCTGTGATAAAATACCATCATGACCTAGACTTTATTTAAGTTTATGGTATCAGAGGGATAGATTCTTCATGGTGGGAAAAGCATGGCATGAAAACAGGAACAGGAAGCTGGCTGATCACATTTTATCGGCATGCAGGAAGCAGAAAGAGAGCAGGAAGTGGGGTGAGTCTGTAAGTACAC